TATATAATATATATCCCTAGTGAGCCGGGCCAGGCTGGGTGACGCCAGGACTGTTCCCAATCGCTGTCGGTGCCTCGGCTGCCCGGCCACCCCGCACGGGGGGTGCAGCCCCCGGTACCTCTGGGCTCCGTCCCAAGAGAGGACCCCGCYGGCGCATCCACGGTCCCATCCGAAAATGTAGGAAGAGGGGAGCAAAGGGGGCTCAGAGGCCGAGAGGGGCTCTGCTCTGCCATTCTCGACCCCTCCCCGGCCCTGCAGTCTTGGGCGATCGCTGCCGCTCAGACCGGGGTCTGGCGCGGGGTTTTTTTTTTGTTTTTTTGGGAAAAGCAGAAGTTGGCGATGGCAGCGGCTGGCTCGGAGTGCGGACAGGGGGAGTGAGCTCGCGCTTCGAGGGCATCCTTCGCTCGGAACGGAAAGGAAGGCCGGGAGGGACAGGCAAGCTTCGCACGGCGGTGGTCGGATGGCACGGAGAGCGTCCTCCCCCAGGCATCTGCAGGAGGAGGGAGAGGGGTGAGATGGATGGGCAGAAATCCCTGTGRCCATCCCTTTACCCTGGGAAGGCAAAGCTGGAAACAGAATTGATATTGAAAAGCTCAAAACTCTGGTGGGGTTAAAAAAAACTCCAAGCCTCAGGACGCTGTGATGACAAAAATCACTCCAAGGGTCACCTCTGCACCTCTGTGGGGCACAGCAAGGACACAAGGGGTGCTCAGCCCAGCACCTGTGTGATGCTGTGAGCCACAGCGTCCCTGGCTGTGCCAAACCCAGCTCCAGGGCACAATATAAGACATAAGATAAATAAAACATTTAATATAATCTGTCTCTGRAGCATCCCCGTGCCCCCAGCGTGCCAGCTGCCTCCTCTGCAGCCACATGTGTTGCTGAGGGTGGGAGCTGTGCCACAGGCAAACGCTGCCATCTCTGGGGGATGCGGTCTGAGGATGCTCTGTGGGATGGGGGGACTGGCAGGAACCTATCAGAATGGGGGCAACATTCCCCCTGGCTGGATTTGGGGGGGATTATCCACGTTTTGGTGCTCCAGCAGAGCAGATTCAGCTGCCTGTGCCCGTGGAAGGTGGCACGAGGCAGGTGGGAGATGTGGGAACCCCCACAGCCCCCAGCACTGCACTCACCGCCGCTCGGCCCCGGGACTATACGAGCCCATCGTAGAGGGAGAGCGCCTGCACGATGGAGGGGTCGGCCTTGGAGCCCTCCTGGAACTCCTGCAGCGTCAGCTTCCCRTCAGCATTCTGCAAAACACCCCTGTCACCGTGCTGCTTCACCCCAGCTGGGCACCCCAACACCCACAGCACCCACACAGACACCCAGCCCTCCCCACAGCCACTGCCTCCATGTCCCCATCACACCCCCCGTGCCTGCAGCCACAGTGACTCTGAAATGGATCCCAGAGGGGTGGGGGTGTCCCTCAGCAATCYTGGCAGCAGCTGAGACCTTGTGTTGGTGGGGAAAGGAGGGAACCTTCCCAAATCCTTTGGCCACAGGGAAAAAACCCTCAAGCGTGCTCACCTTGTCCATCATGGCAAAAATCCGATCCACCCTCTTCTCAGGCGTGTTCTCCTCCTCAGGAAGCTCCACTGTGTTTCCCTGTGGCARMAGGACAGGACCTGCTCACACRGCCAYCTGTGCCCTGTGTCCCCAGGSCRGGAYTGTCCCCCACCCCACACCAGGACAGGGTGCACGGGGATGGTGTTGGCACTAGAACCACCCTCAGCACCAGATCCCAACCCTGCCCTGCCCACCATGGCCACAAATCCCATCAAAAGAGGCCCAAAAAGGATTTGGGATGTTTCAGCACTCCAGCAGGGACCCCCAAGGGCTGCTCAGCTCTCTTACCACCATCTGATAAATGGCATCCACAATGTCCAGCATCTCGTTCCTCGTGATGTATCCGTCGTTGTCCAGGTCGTACAGCTTGAACGCCCCTGAAAACCAGAGCAACACCCATGGGCTGGGGGTGTCCAGGTGTCCAGCCCCTGCCCTGGACATCCCTGGACATTCCTGGACACACCTGGACACTCTGGACACTCCTGGACTCCCCTGGACATTCCTGGACACCCCTGGACATCCCTGGACACTCTGGACACCCCTGGACACCCCTGGACATCCCTGGACACCCTTGGACACTTCTGGACATCCCTGGACACTCTGGACACCCCTGGACACCCCTGGACACTCCTGGACTCCCCTGGACACCCCTGGACACCCTTGGACAGCCTGGACACCCCTGGACATCCCTTGGACACCCCTGGACACCCTGGACACCTCTGGACACTCCTGGACACCCTGGACACCCCTGGACACCCCTGGACACCCTGGACACCCCTGGACACCCCTGGACACCCCTGAGGACACCAGCTAAGCCCACCAGCATCCCATGGGGAACACTTACACCTCAGCTTCTCNAGCCCACCAGCATCCCATGGGGAACACTTACACCTCAGCTTCTCGTCCAGCGTGCCCCTGGAGGTGACCGACAGCGCCTGGATGAACTCGGAGAACTCGATCCTCCCATCCTGGGGGAGGAAAGGAGGGGTCAGGGGCTGCTGCCACTCCTGTCCAGCAGTGTCCTCCCTGCCCACTGTCCCCAGTGAGGGAGCACAGCCTAAAAGGCAGCAGGGAGGGAGGAACGAYGCACATTCCTGTGATCCAGCCCAGCCCGAGCATCCCGGCAGGAGCGGCTCAGGACGGGCTTTCATCAGCAGCACCAAAACCAGAGCCTCTCCTCTCCTGCTCTGCYGCTTCACCGCCCTTCCCCACGTGATTCCTCCACTAAAACAAGTGTGGGGGCTCGCTCCAGCTGCGCCACTTCCATTTCACGCCCCAGGAAGCACTGGAATATTTTGCTCCTCCAGCGCCACGCAGACGCATCTCAAATCATCACAGCGTGGCCACGAGCCCAGCCCTGACCGTGCCCCTCAATCCCAGATTCACCTTGTTCTCATCGAAGACGTTGAAAACGAAGGTGGCGAATTTGGTGGGGTCACCAAAGGGGAAGAACTGTTTGTAGATCTTCTGGAAGCCGGCGGCATCGAGCTGCCCGCTCGGACAGTCCTTGATGAAGCCCTTGTACCTGCGGAGGGAGGGCACAGCATGGGCCTGTGTCACCACAGCGAGGGTGGCATTGGGTCACTCCTGTCACCACAGTGAGGGAGGCATTGGGTCACTCCTGTCACCACAGTGAGGGAGGCATTGGGTCACTCCTGTCACCACAGTGAGGGTGGCACTGGGGACAGGCACTGGTGACACCGAGTGGTGCCCACTGCACTGCTCCAGCCCTCTGCCAGCCCACAGGTGGCAACAGGGCCACAACCAGGCTGGTGTTGAGAATTGTGGGGGAGACGGGAGGGGACAGGGACCCACTGCACTGCTGCCATGTCCTGGTGACAAACAATGGCACTGTGGCYGCTGATTTCCAGGAGGGTGGTTGGGCACTGACAGGCACCCCAGCAATTACATTAATTCTAACAGAGGTCAAGAAGTGTTTGGACAGCACTTGCAGGCACATGGGATTCTTGGGATGTGCAGGGCTGGGAAATGGACTTGCCATGATCCTCGTGGGCCCCTTCCAACTCAGGATATCCCATCACTCCATCAGAACTTTTATCATGACCCCAAGTGAAAGCTGCTCAGAGGGTTCCTGTGTCCTCAGGTGGCACTGATCACTCATTTCCAAAACCCATCAATGCTCAAACACCCCAAAAACCCCTCGGCCCCAGCTCCAGCCTGGCCCTGGAGGGTGCAGGGAAGGGGTTCCATGGCTCCGKGGGTGTGGGCACCACGCAGGGAGCACGAGGGGAGCACATGGGACCGCACGGGCATCACGTGGGGTGCGTGAACATTATGCAACGCATCGCCCAGATCTGTCAGGCGCCCGCTGCAGCGGGACGAGGGCTGGAGGAGGAGGGGAAGGGGGTGGCGAGGTGGGAAACCGAAGTGCCGGTGACATCTTTTTCACGCTGCTGCAGCTATGACTCATCGGGTGGGGGGGGGAAGGATGAGAGAAAGAGATAAAGAAAGCAAACCTTGACTGGTGGGGTGGGGAGATGAAAGGGAAGCGGTGGCTTTTCTAGGGCGCTGTGTTCGGTGGGGTGGAGGGGATGGAGTGAGAGCGTGCTGCCGGCAGGAAAACACAGATCCCACCCCTGATAGCACCTGAGGGCCGTGCTGCAAAAGGGGACAGCACTGGGACAGCAACAGCCTCCTGCACCAGGTCACCAGCTGGACAGTCCCCATGTTCCATGCTCTTTGGCTGCTCATATGGGGACGGAAGAGCAACGAGAACCCAGYCCTTGCACAGGGCGTGCAAGGAAAACCCCTCTGTGTTCTGGGGTCCCTTCTGTGAGGCATCACCTGCACCCCTCCTGCTCTGCCTGGACAGTGGGGTGGCTGAGTGTCACCAGCTCCTGTCCCCTGCCCACAGCCCCATGTCCCAGCCAGCTCACACCACGCCAGGCACTCACCACTGCTGCACCTCCTTCTCSGTGACTGCAAGAGAAAACAGGAGAAAAGAGAAAAAAGAGAGAGAGATTTAGTGTTTTTGCAGTGACAGCTGTTTCTCTTGTACTGCCCAGCAGTGGCTTCCCTGGGCACTGCTGGGGCTCCCAACAATGACATCCCTGGTGGATGCCCCAGGGCTCACTCACTCCACGAGCTACAAATGCCCCCCATGTGGCAGCAGCTGCTTCTGAGGCACAATTTGGGCCAGGGCTGCAGGTTCTGGGGATCCCCAAAACCAGGGAGCCTCCTTTTGTGTTGCACCCAGGGAGTGCAGAGCCATGGCTGCAAGATGCTGTGGACCATGAAGGGGACAAAGCTGATCATGCCTGGGGAGGCCCTGCTGTCTCATGTTCCCAGAGCTAAAACATCCCTGAAAACATCTGCTGAAACATCTGCCTGGGGGCGGCTCAGGGAAGGAACCTGCCTGGTCCTGACACACCGAGCGTGGGTGCAGGCGCAGCTCCAGGGCTGGCACCCCCCCAGGTACCAACTGCGTCTGGAGAAACATCACCAAACCCATCCCAGCGCTCTGGGAAGCCTCACCGGGCTCTGGAGAAACCCCAAAAATGTGACAAGCTAGAAAACAACAAGCACTGGCAACCCCGAGTGTCCCCAGCTGCTGAGATGAAGGATGTGCTCKGCAGAAAAAAGGCTCTGAGGGATGGGGGATGCCAGGCAGGGGCTGGCACTTGTCCCTGCGTGTCCCACTGCAGAAGCTGTGCCTGTGCCTCCCCACAGCGGGGAGCCACGTGTCAGCAGGTGGGTTCGGGGAGAACCGGCCTCATTTGTCATTTCCTTTGCGTCGTGAATCTAAATAATGATAGAAAAGCCACAGGTCTGAAAGGCGCGGGGATAACGAGGCGAGCGGAGATGTCAATGTGCAAACGGCTGATAAAAATAGAGACCCGAGACACACCAACAGATGCCAATTACCTTGGATGGCAAAAAAAAAAAAAAAGAAAAAGAAAAAAAAAAGAAAAAGAAGAGAAAGCAATTTTCCATCAGGAAGATTTGTAACGTGCCTGGCAGAAGGTGCAGAGCGCAGAGGCGAGGGCTGGCAGCCGTGGGGTGGCTGGGAGGGCACACAGCAGCCCCCACCTCATCACTGACCGTGTTCTGGCTTCAGAACCCCTGTTAGCAGGAATTTCAGTGCCCAAGGCTGTCCCCATGTGTTGGGGGGACCCTCCATCCCAGCTCAGGGGTCACTGGAGGGACAGAGCCTTCAATTCCCCCACTTCCCCAGAGATTCAGTGAAAGCAGCACCCGCTGTAGCACCGTGGGGTGCCCGGACAGCAGCACCCATAGGGATGTTCAGCACCGGGGATGAAGGACATTCAGAGCTTTGGCAGTGTCACAGGAGGGATTTGGAGGGTCAGTTGTTTTGGGCAGAGAGCGATCTCCCAGCAGGAAAGAGCCAGGAAGGACTCACGCAGCTAAAACATCAGCCATGGCAGTTCCAAGGGATTTTCCCATCCTCCCCAAAAAGGGTGGCACAGAAGCATCCTTCCAAAAGAGCTGCTGAGTGACATCTCCAACAGGAACAGCTTTCCCTGCACACCCTCACTGAGACACCAGCCGTGACCTCCACCCTGAGGGTGCCCAAAAGATGCCCCAAGCATCAGCTCTGCAGCCCCAGTCACCCAAGGAGGGTGCGTGGAAGGAGGAGGATGATGGTGAGTGCTCGGAGCAGGCAAAAGGGACCGCGGCAGCAGCCGGGGCTGCAGGCAGGGCTCGGCTCAGCCCCTCCAGGCAAATCGCCTTCTGCTCGYTCTTGTTCGACTGCGTTTCCCCCAACGTGCTATTTTGGGCCCGGGAGCTGCCTTTCAACTCCAGCAGGAAACAATTAAGAAATTTGTGCTTTTTTTAGTACAGGAGAAATGCTGGTAATGACACGCTTGGGCTGAGGCGGGAGGGAGGGAGGGATGGAGCCAGCTCCCCTCGTGCCGCAGGAGGGATGTGTGATGCTCCCAGGAGAGGCTTTTCCGACGGAGGGAACCATTCAGGTGCCAGCCTGAAAATCAGCACAGGGCTCCCAGTGAGGGATTTGTAAATGTGCATCCTGGAATGGAGCCAAGCAGAGCCCCATCCCTCCTCCAGCACCGGTGCCCATCCTCCAGCCTTTGGTGCTGGGGAATCTGTGGGGTTTGAACGGAGGTGGGAGCGTGGCCTCAGCTCCCAGCCCTTGGAAAACCACACAGCTCTGAGTGCATCCCTCCACTGCCACCAAATGTCCCCTCGGGCCAGGGGCAGAGCGTTCCCAGAGCAGGAACCGCCCCAGCCCTGACCCAGCGTGGGCACTGAGCGGTACCCGCATCCCTGCACCTGCTGTTATGGATCCGGGACAGGTGACAATTCCATGGCTGCCACTTCCCAGCCGCTCCGACCCTGCTGGGTGTTGACACTCCGAGCGGCACCAATTAGGAATGCAAATGCCCGAGCTGCAGCCACAGAAGCCTCGGGGACACCGAGTGCGTGGCTGAGCCGCCTGTCCTGAGGCTGGGAGCAGAGAAAACACACGCAGGGACAGCGCTGTCCCTCCGCTCTGCGTGTCCCCGGCCGGCAGAGCCCAGCCGGGCTCACAGACAGAACCATTCGGCGGCAGCTGCTGCATTCCCCTCYCGCGGCATCGATCACGGCGCGGGGCTGAGCCGACACACATCCATTTGCAGCGATCTAAACCCCGGCCAGGCGCGCCCCCGCCGCCCCAGAACGAGGGGGTGACCCCCAGCAGCCCCACAGAGCATCCCCAGGAGCAGGGCCGGCTCTCTGGCCGTGCTCCAGCCCGGAGCGGGGCTCAGCTGCCGTGCCGAGCTCCAGGGAGCGCCGCTCCCGCAGCCGCGCCGGGGAGCGCTATAAATAGCGCACGTAGCAGCTTGTTAGTAGCAGCGTGCCCCGGGATCCTTGGGGATGAAAGGCGCTAAATAAAGGCAGAGTATGATCGTTTGTTATCAACCGCAACGCTGGAAGAGAGGCATCGCCGCCGAGCCGGCAGCGCCAGCGACGCCCCGCAGGCGCCGRCCCGTGCGCTCAGCCCCGCTCACCGGGCGCAGAACGGGGAATCGCCGAGCACGGGGCTCTCGGACAGGCAGAGGGGACAGGRACGGGCACCCAGAGCAGCTCAGGAGCTGCCCAGCACGGCCAAAACACAGCCAAGGCTCTCTCCCTGCCCTTCGCTGATCGGTCCATTCCTGCTGCCACCTCAGCTGGGAGCGGGGTTTTGGCCACACGCCTCACACAGCGTAGAGTGAATGGGCAGAGCATCCAAGCAGCCCCCAGCCCCCTGCTCCCAGCTGCCGGTACCGAAATCCCCCTCAGCCCTCTCCCCCAGCCCTCTCCCCCCACCTCTCCATCAATCCCAGTGGCACAGGCGAGGACTGACAGCTCCGTCACCACCCGCCCTTCGCGTGCCCCCTCTCCTCCCACCACCCAGCTGCCACTGCAGCAAGAATCAGCTCTGGTTAATCAGTGCTCAAGCCTGTTAATTTGTGTTTTCCAGGCAGAGAGGAGAAGAGAGGAGGGACCCGGGACTGCGAAYCCCCATCCGTCGCCCTGCCGCAGGGAGCTCGCTGCTCGCTGGACCGCGGCGGGGACGAGGAAAGAGGGCAGGGGATAGCTGGTTGGGAATGGTTTAGGGATCCCTGCTCACGGTGGGATGCGTGAGATGATGTGATGCTTTAGCCCGACAGGAGCTTTTATTTTTGTGCTGTCATCCCTTTCCCTGTCTGTGCAAGGGCAGGGTTTGGCCACGGCCGCAGGGCTGGACCCTGAGCAGGACAGTGCACACTCAGCCCAGCCCGTGCGTGCTAAAACCGACAGCACAGCTCAGTCCTTACGCAGGTTTGGGCTCAACAAGCACTGTCCCCACGCAGCAGCCAGCGACGAATCTCCACCGAACCCCACACGTCCCCCCCTTGCTCCAGCTCCCACCACAGCACCTTGATCCCGTGTGGCCGCGGGCACCGCAGCCTTATCAGGGAAACCGGTTAATTATTTCCAGGCACCAAGTGGCTTCCCCCACCGCCACAGGGCACTCCAGCTATGCCGGGTCACGGGCTCTGCCGCCAGCCCACAGGTCCAGCATCACACAGAGTCACGGTCGGGGCAGTCCTGCGACATTGATTTATCCCAGGGACGTGCTGTGTCTCCTTCACAGAGTCCCTGCAGTCCCTGGGCTCCCATTTTGGGGGAGCCGGAACACGGGGGGTTCCCATCGGGTTTGGGGCTGCCTAAACCCGCTGTGGGTGCTCAGCGCAGTGCCCAGACCGGGGAAATTGGGCACCCACACTGGGGTGGGAGCTCAGGCGTGAGGGAACGGGGCACTCATGCATGCACTAACTGGRCACCCATGCCTGAGCCAGACGGGCACTCATGCAAAAACACACCGGGACATCATGCGTGGGCTAACTGGGCACTCGTGCATRAATTATGTGGGTGCTTCTAGGTGAGCTAATTGGGTGCTCATGCATGAACCGCCCGGGCGCTGCGGCGGCAGTGAAAGAGCCGCTCATGCACGAACCAGCTGGGGGTTCATGCATCCATTTTTTCGGGCATTCATGAATTWACGGGGCGCCCATGCACGGATGAATCGAGCAGTCACGCGTCCGTTCGCTGGGCACTCCTGCGTGAGCTAATTGGGCACTCATGTGTAAATTAGCGTAATTAGGAGATAACACACTTGTGCACGCACTAATTGGGCACTCAGGTGTGAATGGATCAGGTGCTCATGCATGAATTAATGGGACAGTCAGGCATGAGCTAATTGCAGGCACGTGCRCCGATTAATTGGGCACTCATGCATCAGCCACCAGGGCGCTCATGCACGGAGCAGCAGCGTGCGATCCAGAGGGAATTAACCGGGCAGCCATGCATAAATCCAGCTGGGTGCTCATATGTAAATTAATTGCGCKCTCATGTGTGTGTTAATTGGGAGCTCATGCGTGAACCGAGCGGGCGCCGCTGCGGAAGAGCCCGGGGCGCTCAAACACGCG